ACTTAAACAGCTGTCTTTTCAAAGTAAACATATTGTTTCAAATATTCTTTTGTAAATTTAATCACAAAATTTAAGTCAGCTTGTTGTCACTTCTTCAAATCGAAGTTTTTGTGCACCTTACTGACCGCAAATATCAAAAAATAAAACGCTAATTTATTTCGTCAAATTAGTATTTTATTTAGTTATGTATGCTTTTCGGTTAACAGCTGATCAACCATCATCAGCGCGCGACTACTGAGCAATAATCAAAATAGACAAATAGACAAAACGGTACAATAATTGTGAACATACATACAAACATAAATACATACATATGTATACATCGAAAATAACTTTCATACAAAGAAACACATTAAAAAATGTAAACAAAGGGAACAAGTGGAATTGGCATAAACAAGGAATTATTTAATTTCTTACACAGCTTAATAGTGGAGAATTAATTGCACCCGGTTCTAGGTTCATTAAAATATTATCGATGGAACAAAAAAGGGCTTTCATCGATATTGAATTGTGGGAACGAGTGTTGTTGAGGGTCAAATGCATGTGCGGCGACAGCGTTGTCCATCTTTTTTAATCTTACTGCACGTAGATTTTCCGCTATTCGTGCACATAGCGACCTCTTTGTTTGCCCAAAATATTTGCAGTTGCAATGCGAAGAGGTTACTTCGTAGACTCCACTCCGTTCTTCCGTCGGCAATTTGTCTTTGGTTGAACCAGCGCATTTCTCCGTTTGTTGTATAAACTACTTGCAAATTACATTTTTGGAAAGCGTGCTTCAATGTATTTCTGATGGCAGGAATGTAGGGCAATAAAACACGCTGTAGTTGAGTTGCGGTGTGATTTTGTGAGAAAAGCGTGCTCTCCTTGTTCGGTCTTATTCGATTGGAGTGTTTACTTATCAGCTGATCGATGAGTGTCATCTTGAAGCCATTTATGTCTGCTGTTCTTTCATATAGACTTGTGCAGACAATGGCAAGGAGCAGAGTCTGTAAACCATTGAATTAAATGAAGACAGTTTTGCTGATATGTGCAATAGCAGTCGTTTGTGATGCATCGGTCGGTCCATGTTGACTTCCGATAAACGCCGAATTAAATTTTCTTTCCTTGTCGCTTAATAAGAATATAAAGAAAAACAAGAGAACTTGTTTTTTCGTCTTACTTTTCAAAAGTGAATTTGATACTCGGATAGCGGCTGTTAAGTGTTCCGAGTGTTTTATCTATGTCGGATATTTTCACTATGACGAAAGTATCGTCCACATATCTATGCCAAATTCGTGGCAAAACAGCTTTCCTTTGAGTTGAGACTCGAAATTGCACATAAAAGCTTCTGCTATATAAGGTGATAAGACTGTTGCCCATGCTACAGCCGCAGTTGTTGTTGTAGTAAACGCCGCGGAATTGAAAGCAATTGTGCTTTATACAGATTTTGATAGCATTTATGTATGCATTGAACTTATCTTCAGGTATACTGAATTTATTCAAGTGGTTTTCAATTGCTTCAATGGCCGTATTAACTGGAGTCGACGGAAAAAGTGCTTCAATATCAAAGGAAATCATTATTTTATCTTAATAAAATTCAATGTCACGCAGTTTGTCTACAAAATCCAATGAATTTTTTTACAGAGTAACCATCGAAGGAACCAAATCATAGCCACTGGCTTTCTTTTCTAAGAAACTTTTTCCTTCTGAAGTACAGTGCATTTGACAGGGAGTTGCTAGCTATTTATATTAACATTAAACATTTGCGATATCTTTTAGAAGGACGACAATTTACAGATTTACAGATCAAAAGCCTTTGATATTTGCCTTGAGCTCAAAAACTGTACGTAGTCCAGACAAACTATGCATATGGAATTCATTACACAATTTTCTAACGACATACGGTATATTAAAGAACAAGAAAATATTGTAGCTGACACACTATCTCAAGCTTTCGATGTTGATGCTATTAAGAAAACAGAACTAACTTTCAAAATTTTACAAAATGAACAAGAACAGGACGAGGAACTAAACAAATTAAACTGTATCAAACAGTTTACGCAAGACAGTTTTTAATATGTTACATGACATTACACATCTTGGTACAAGAGCTATACGTTGTCTAATTATAATAAAGTACTATTGGCGGCCGCTGTGGTGTAGTGGTAAGCAGTGCGCGATTCCACTCCACAACACCTGGGTTAAAGCCCAGGTCAAAGCAACATCGCAAAAAAAATATAGAAAAAAGGTTTTTTCTTAACAGCGGTCGTCCCTCGGCAGGCAATGGCAAACCTCCGAGTTTATTTCTGCCATGAAAAGCAGCTTCTCGTAAAAATGCAATCGCCGTTCGGCGTAAAACTGTAGGTCCCTCCGCCTTGTGTGACAACATCAAGGCGCACGCCACAAGTCGGAGGAGAAGCTCGGCCAAACACTAACATATGTGTAAGCGCCAATCTATTATTACTATGGGCCAAAACTGCACAAAGAAATTAATATTTGGTCAAAAGAATGTATAAATTGTTCAAAATCAAAAGTTAATTGTCACACTAAATCTCCAGTAATTAAAATTTCAATTCCCAAATGTAGATTTGAGCATATTCATTTAGATATTGTTGATCCTCTGCCTATATCGAAAGGCTATCATTACATTTTTAAAATAGTTGATGGGTTCACACGTTGGCCTGAGGCATACGCATAAAGGACATTTCAGCTTCAGTCGTTGCAAATAAATTTTTCAGGGAAATGTTTCACGTTTTGGGGTACCGTTAAAAATCACTACGGATCAGGGTACTCAATTTATGTCAAAATCGTTTTCGGAGCTAACAAAATTGCTTGGTAGTCATCAAATTACAACTTCTGCATATCATGCTCGAGGGAATGGTATGGAAGACGATGGATAGAAATGGAACCTATTATGTATAAAGAAATTCTGAGATGGTTTTTGGGAAAAATTTACACCTACCCGGTTGAAAGAAAATCTGAAGAAAATTTTTTTCCAACTTAAGTTTTAGGTAATTTACGGGAACATTTTAAAAATGTTAATTCAAATTTAAAGCATAATCACAATTCTGATATAGGTGCATATACACCAAAGGATTTGGAGACTTGTACGAAGGACCATATAAGGTTGTGGAAAAAAGAAGAAATATTTTAAACGAAGTAAATAATGAAGTTAAAAAAATTCGATAGACAGACTTAAGCCAGCAATTATTGAAACATAACTAACACCTGAAGCAAACACTGATGTAATGAATAACAGAACATAAAATAAGAAACGAGTTACTTTAACTTTATATAATATTAATTCTCTAGAAGGGGTGTAGGGTTTATATTTGTGTTATTACCTTTTGTTGTACTGTGTTCCTTTCAACTTTGCAATTTTGGAAATTTTAGATTTAAGTGATTTTTGTGGTTCGCCAATCAAACCGAAAATAATCATTATTATTATTTAAACATTGAGTCTTTAAACTTGAATAAATAAAAATTTAATTTTACTATTTGAATATAAATAAATTCTATCTTTGAGCATCCGCTTCAATTGCATCCGCTACAACGGTGTTCCAAATTTTAAATTCAAGTACTAAATAAAAAAAAAAACATTTACCTAAATCACCTAATTTAATCACCTCAATTATTTCTTAAAAGTGCTTGACATCCGCATTCGCATCCGCATCCGCGGATGTTAGGTTTTCAACATCCGCATCTGTATTCGCATCCGGGGATGTCAAAAGTTACACATTCGCAACATCCCTAATTTCCAAATGATATCTCTTAGGGCGGACTTCACAGTGCTTAGTTAAACGATGGTTAGCCTAACCACCAACAATAGTTTAACTTTGAATTTATATTCAGTCACATAGCTAACTATAAAAATTCATATTGTCTGAAAATAAACAAATTTTAAATATCAATACTTTTCTAATCAAATTTGAAATCCGTTCCATAAAAAATAAATCAATTTCACAAGAGTTTAACTATGGGGGCATGCTGGTTTAAACGTTTTTTAACTGAGCGTTATGTATATCAAAATCAATAGTTAAACTTTTGTCAGTGGTTAACTACGCACTGTGAATTTGGCCCTTAATAGAGTTGATCATGAAAATTATTGAAAAAATAAATAAATAAAAAGTGATAAAAAACCAGAACCAAAATCAAATAATTTTTATTTGGGGTTTTCTGTTCATCCCACTGTGAGTATTAAATGAGAGAGAGAAATGTGAATAAAGTAGACAAATAACTGTCAATTACGCCCTTTCCATATTATATTAACGATATGTTGAAATGTCCTAATCGCCGTTCAACGGCGGTACTGGTCATCGCTTGTGCTATTAGATAATAAGGATTCCCTTTTGCATCAACTTTGCGTTTTGGTATATGGCAGCTCTGATATCTTTCCCCCTATTATGAATTTTCATACGAAAGACGACAAACGCTTGCAAACGTATTTTACAAAATGAGTTTTCGTATTATGGTTTCCACACGCGCGATAGATGTACTATTGTGAATGACAGTGGTATTTGTTTACTATTTGTTCTGAATTTAAATTAAACAGCTATCTAGCTAAAATATTTTCAAAGCAAACATTTTGTTTCAAATATTCTTTTGTAAATTAAATCACAAAATTTAAGTCAACTTGTGGTCACTTCTTCAAATCGAAGTTTTTGTGCACCTTACTGACCGCAAATATCGAAAAATAAAACGCTAATTTATTTCGTCAAATTAGTATTTTATTTAGTTATGTATGCTTTTCGGTTAACAGCTGATCAACCATCATCAGCGCGCGACTACTGAGCAATAATCAAAATAGACAAATAGACAAAAAGGTACAATAATTGTGAACATACATACAAATATAAATACATACATATCCCTGCAGGGAAACCGCGGACTAGTGAATCAAATTTCTAGTTCCGTACTTGGTCTTTATCGCCAAAAACGAACTATCCGATATGAACTAAATCCCCACCAGTCCAAATTCGGAGAAAAGTGGNGTAATATAACATAACCGAGTAACATTTAAAGAAAATGTAAAATGTAGAATAAATATTACGAGTATTTTAAATACTCACGTGTAGTCGTTAACAATGCAAGTTCAGGATAACTGCGCATTTTGCCTCGTCTCTATGAAGCGTCGAGCACTGAAAAGGTTACAGCCATGCAGACACCTATTTCATGCTGACTGTTTTGAAAATGTACCAACCGCAACAAGTTGTCCAATTTGTCGAAGCGATGTAACGGGTAAGCAATGCAAAGCAATTATTTTATTTAAAAAACTATTGCATTAATGAAAATGATTCAATTTCTTTCAGTTGCCGAATCAGTTGAGCGACGTGCCAACATAAAATACTCTGCTGAAGACAGGAAGCGAATTGTGGAGGCAGCCAATAAAGGCCTTGATTGGGTGCAGCTGGCGGAGTCTTTAAATGTAAAATATAAAACGGCTTACGTATGGGTATCTTCTGGCACTTCTCAAGCACTAAGGCAAGGCAGTACAAAAGAAAGAGCGCTGTCGGACAATGAAGTTGCAGTGATGGTCCAATGGATTGAGGAGGATGCCACTATGACACTCACAAAAATTCGTGAAAAAATTAAACAAACGTTTAGAAAAGATATGTGCATTTCCAGCGTGGGAAACTATTTACAAGGACAACTTTTTACGATGAAGGGGATTCATAAGGAACCTCAATCAATGAATTCGCAGCTAAATAAGGAAAAGCGCCGCGAATACGTATGTACGTTGAATCAATATATTCAGGAAGTCTAGCAGATTTTATACATCGACGAGACAAATTTTAATTTATTTTGTCGGCGTTCACGAGGTCGTGCTAAGGTTGGAAAACGTGCGGTACAAGTTTTACCAGTGGCTAAAGGGCCAAACGTGCACCTTATTGGGGCCATTTATGCGTCTGGTGTAGTCAAAATGACTACCAGAAGAGGATCCTTCAAGTCTGAGGACGCAAACGCTTGGCTCCGCTCCGTTTTAGATAGGTGGTGCGAAATGGGTAATCAGCTTACCGATGCCATTATTGTGTGCGACAACGNGTAATACAAAACTAAAATTTGTGTTAACCTTTCAACATATTGGGACCGTCTGGAATCTAAGAAATAACAGCGAGCACCTCTGCAAACTCAGCTACAGCTAACGGTATGTAAACGTACATTTCATACAATCATTCAAACAAATTTAATTTCAAATTGAAAAAAACGTTTCTTTGAAAATAATGTAAAATCGCACACATGGAAGAACCAAAAAGATTGAAAAATCATGACACTTTTTTCTTTCGTCTATCGATTTCAGAACTGGTTCGGAACTATAGAATTTAGGACTAGTTCGGAACTATCGAAAACGGGATGCAGCGGGGGGCAATTGACACTTCCAAGGACATCGCCATGTTAAATTCGCCAGTTGCTTGCATGCAAAAGAGATTTATCGCGAACCAGTACTAGGTCTAAATGTACTAGAAGCGCCCCAGTTCAGAACTAGAGATTTTCCCCACGGGGATGTATACATCGAAAATAACTTTCATACAAAGAAACACATTAAAAAATGTAAACAAAGGGAACAAGTGGAATTGGCATAAACAAGGAATTATTTTACTTTCTTACACAGCTTAATAGTGGAGAATTAATTGCACCCGGTTCTAGGTTCATTAAATTATTATCGATGGAACACAAAAGGGATTCATAAANGAATTAATTGCACCCGGTTCTAGGTTCATTAAATTATTATCGATGGAACAAAAAAGGGATTCATAAACATCCAATTTTGCTGAATTTCTAACATTTTTTAATAAGCGAACATTTTTNACAAGTGGAATTGGCATAAACAAGGAATTATTTTACTTTCTTACACAGCTTAATAGTGGAGAATTAATTGCACCCGGTTCTAGGTTCATTAAATTATTATCGATGGAACACAAAAGGGATTCATAAACATCCAATTTTGCTGAATTTCTAACATTTTTTAATAAGCGAACATTTTCTTTCATCGATATTGAATTGTGGGAACGAGTGTTGTTGAGGTCAAATGCATGTGCGAAGACAGCGTTGTCCATCTTTTTTAATCTTACTGCACGTAGCGACCTCTTTGCTTGCCCAAAATATTTGCAGTTGCAATGCGAAGAGGTTACTTCGTAGACTCCGCTCTGTTCTTCCGTCGGCAATTTGTCTTTGATTGAACCAGCGCATTTCTCCGTTTGTTGTATAAACTACTTGCAAATTACATTTTTGGAAAGCGTGCTTCAATGTATTTCTGATGGCAGGAATGTAGGGCAATGAAACACGCTGTAGTTGACTGCGGTGTGATTTTGTGAGAAAAGCGTGCTCTCCTTGTTCGATCTTATTCGATTGGAGTGTGTACTTATCAGCTGATCGCTGAGTGTCATCTTGAAGCAATTTATGTCTGCTGTTCTTTCATATAGACTTGTGCAGACAATGGCAAGGAGCAGAGTCTGTAACCCATTAAATTAAATTAAGACAGTTTTGCTGATATGTGCAATAGGAGTCGTTTGTGATGTATCGGTCGGTCGATGTTGACTTCCGATAAACGCCGAATTAAATTTTCTTTCCTTGTCGCTTAATAAGAATATCAAGAAAAGGAAGAGAACTTGGTTTTTCGTCTTACTTTTCAAAAATACTCGGATAGCGGCTGTTAAGTGTTCCGAGTATTTTATCTATGTCGGATATTTTCACTATGGCGAAAGTATCGCCACATATCTATGCCAAATTCGTGGCAAAACACCTTTCCTTTGAGTTGAAACTCGAAGNAGAAATTAATATTTGGTCAAAAGAATGTATAAATTGTCCAAAATCAAAAGTTAATTGTCACACTAAATCTCCAGTAATTAAAATTTCAATTCCCGAAGGTAGATTTGAGCATATTCATTTAGATATTGTTGAACCTCTGTCTATATCGAAAGACCATCATTACATTTTTAAAATAGTTGATGGGTTCACACGTTGGCCTGAGGCTCACGCATTAAAGGACATTTCAGCTTCAGTCGGTGCAAATAAATTTTTCCGGGAATGTTTCACGTTTTGGGGTACCGTTAAAAATCACTACAGATCAGGGTACTCAATTTATGTCAAAATCGTTTTCGGAACTAACAAAATTTCTTGGTAGTCATCAAATTACAACTTCTGCATATCATGCTCAAGGGAAGGGTATGGAAGACAATGGATAGAAATGGAACCTACAATTGGTATGACGAGCTACCGATAATACTTCTTGGTTAATGATCGATGTATAAAGTACTTCTGAGATGGTTTTTGGGCAAAATTTACGCCTACCCGGTGAGCTTGTGAAAAAAAATCTGAAGAAAATTGTTTTCCAACTTAAGTTTTAGGTAATTTACGGGAACATTTTAAAAATGTTAATTCAAATTTAAAGCCTAATCAAAATTCTGATATAGGTACATATACACCAAAGGATTTTCTGACTTGTAAATTTGATTTTATGCGTGTCATTGAAAAAGATCATTGCAACAACCAAACGAAGCACCATTTAAGGTTGTGGAAAAAAAAGAAATATTTTAAACGAAATAAATAATGAAGTTAAAACAATTCGATAGACAGACTTAAGCCAGCAATTATGGAAACATTACTAACACCTGAAACAAACACTGATATAATGAATAACAGAACATAAAATAAGAAACGAGTTACTTTAACTTTATATAATATTAATTCTTTAGAAGGGGGAGTATTCTAGGGTTTATATTTGTGTTATTACCTTTTGTTGTACTGTGTTCTTTTCAACTTTGCAATTTGGGAAATTTCAGATTTAAGTGATTTTTGTGGTTCGCCAATCAAACAGAAAATAATCATTATTATTATTTAAACATTGAATCTTTAAACTTGAATAAATAAAAATTTAATTTTACTATTTGAATATAAATAAATTCTATCTTGGAGCTTTCGCTTCAATTGCATCCGCTACAACAGTGTTCCAATTTTTTAATTCAAGTACTAAATAAAAAAAAAAAAAAACATTTACCTAATTTACTCACCTCAATTATTTTTTAAAAATGCTTGACATCCGCATCCGCGGATGTTAGGTTTTCAACATCCGCATCTGTATTCGCATCCGGGGATGTCAAAAATTACACATTCGCAACATCCCTAATTTCCAAATGATATCTCTTAGGGTGGAATTCACAGTGCTTAGTCAAACGATGGTTAGCCTAACCACCAACAATAGTTTAACTTTGAATTTATATTCAGTCACATAGCTAACTATAAAAATTCATATCGCCTGAAAATAAACAAATTCTAAATACCAATACTTTTCTATTCAAATTTGAAATTCGTTCCAAAAAAAAAAAATCAATTTCACAAGAGTTTAACTATGGGGGCATGCTGGTTTAAACGTTTTTTAACTGAGCGTCATGTATATCAAAATCAATAGTTAACTACACACTGTGAATTTGGACATTAATAGAGTTGTTCATGAAAATTATTGAGAAAAAAAAGTGATAAAAAACCAGAACCAAAATTAAATAATTTTTATTTGGGGTTTTCTGTTCATCCCACTGTGAGTATGAAATGAGAGAGAGAAATGTGAATAAAGTAGACAAATAACTGTCAATTACGCCCTTTCCATATTATATTAACGATATGTTGAAATGTCCTAATCGCCGTTCAACGGCGGTACTGGTCATGGCTTGTGCTATTAGATAATAAGGATTCCCTTCTGCACCAACTTTGCGTTTTGGTATATGGCAGCCCTGATATCTTTCCCTATCTATTATGAATTTTCATACGAAAGACGATAAACGCTTGCAAACGTATCGTACAAAATGAGTTTTCGCATTATGGTTTCCACACGCCCGATAGATGTACTATTGTGAATGACAGTGGTATTTGTTTACTATTTGTTGTGAGTTTAAATTAAACAGCTGTCTAGCTAAAATATTTTCAAAGCAAACATTTTGTTTCAAATATTCTTTTGTAAATTTAATCACAAAATTTAGGTCAGCTTGTGGTCACTTCTTCAAATCGAAGTTTTTGTGCACCTTACTGACCGCAAATATCGAAAACAGCTGATCAACCATCATCAGCGCGCGACTACTGAGCAATAATCAAAATAGACAAATAGACAAAAAGGTACAATAATTGTGAACATACATACAAACATAAATACATACATATGTATACGTCGAAAATAACTTTCATACAAAGAAACACATTAAAAAATGTAAACAAAGGGAACAAGAGGAATTGGCATAAACAAGGAATTATTTTACTTTCATACACAGCTAACTAGGGGAGAATTAATTGCGCCCGGTTCTAGGTTCATTAAATTATTGTTGTTGGAAATAAAAAGGGATTTATAAGCATCGAATTTTGCTGAATTTCTAACATTTTTAATAAGCGTACATTTTCTTCCATCGACATTGAATTGTGGGGACGAGTGTTGTAGAGGTCTAATGCATGTGCGGCAATAGCGTTGTCCATCTTTTTTAATCTTACTGCACGTGGATGTTCTGCTATTCGTGCACGTAGCGACCTCCTTGTCTGCCCAATATATTTGCAGTTGCAATGCGAAGAGGTTACTTCGTAGAATCCGCTATGTTCTTCCGTCGGCAATTTGTCTTTGATTGAACCAAGCGCATTTCTCAGTTTGTTGTTGTTTGTGTAAACTACTTGCAGTAGATTCTTAAAGAATTACTCGTTGCGTTCGATGACGGGAAACGGTCCGTCATAAAGGGGTTGCAAAGGTTTTCGCACGGCATCGTTATTCACGAAAACTGCTGGTGTAGAATATAAATGTTTTTTCTACAAAAGGTGAATAAACAGAGTGGTTTGACGTCTGCGTCAGTCTCAGCAATCGCATACACTCCCGAAGATTGCTGACAAATTCGCATTCAATGGTATTTCGGGTCATTTCATCTGCGAAAAACTGGCCTGGGATCCGCAATGTTTCGCCATAAACCATTTCAGCCGGCGTAGCATTCAAGTCCCCTTTCCATGATGAACGAAAACCCAGCAGTGTGAGCGGCAATACTTCAACCCAGTTGTTGGTCGTGT